TCCCCCCTCCCCCGTGTCCCCCCGAGACCCGCGTGTGAGTGTGAGCGTGAGTTTGAGCGCGCGCCGCTGCCGCCTCGTGTGGAGCCGCCTGTCACGTTTCGTTTCTTCTCCGTTCCCAGGTGCTGATGGGCTGGTGCCAGCAGAGACACAAGTGAGGCGTTTACCCCCGCCCGGAGCCGCGCGATTTCAGCTGTCACATCTGCGGAGGCAGAGAGAGAGACTCGTGCTCAAAATCCCCCGATCGTAAATACGCAGAAAGCGGAAGAAGAGGCACGGCCGAGCAGTGGCAGGAGGAGCAGAGGGGGCGGCCGTCCTGCCCCTGCCCTAGTCGGAGAGGCTCATGGCCGAGTTGGGCAGCAGCGGCGCCGGGGGGCTGCCCTCCTCCCCGGGGCCAGGCCAAGGAAAGGTGGCCTTCAAGGCAGGGGATGGGGAAGGCGGAGGGGGCGGCGGAGGCGGCAGATCCCGCTTTGACAGTGCGGGTGGCCGGGTCTCTAATGGGGACTGTGCCCTAGTGGGAGCTGGCGAGGAGTCGGGACCAGCTCTTCCTGGAAGCCCGGAGAGCAGCAGCAAAGAGAAAGGATTTTCCACCAGTCAGCAGCGAGATGGCAAGCCTGGCATCCCCCGGAGGAGCAGCATAATTAAGGTAAGAACATTTGCTCCTCCCTGTCGGGGTCTTGGCTATTTCTCTGTCACACAGAGATGTGTGCACGAGGTTTGGCTCTGTGTCTCGAGATGAAAGGATACGCTGTTTTTTTGTTGTCTTTTTTTTTTGTGTTGAGGGGACTTGCTTTTCCTTTGTCCAAGGTGGACAGTAGTGAAAAGATGGCTATGAGCACACATCGACACATTGGGGTGGCTGCTATGCCTTGAGGGATGTTCAGATATAACGTGCTGATGTTCCTGACGAGTTGGAGAAGGCGAGAGAACCCAAATGCCTTGTTAAAAGACAATGTGGGCATCAGCCTGGCGTTGAAAGACATGGATTACACAATATCATTATTTGAGATGCACCTGTGCAGAGCAATTTTGTCACTCCATTGGCTTGTGTGTGTGACAGACACACAGCAGGTGATGAGAGGTTCGGGTTCTCATTGGACTGGGGGTGGGAGAAGATGGAGAAGGAAGGTTTCTTCTTGTTAAAAGTGACAGCATGTTTAAGGAGACTGTGCTGTACTTTACCTGTGGAAACAGTCTTTGTTTATACTTACCTGTGCATGTTCTGAGTGCTAATGTGAAAAGTTGGGGCAGAAAATGGTAAAATGTAGATCAGTGGAAAAAGGGATGGGAGTTATCTTTTATCTTTTAGTACAATTAGTTATACAAATACAATTGTTTCCTTTTCTTAAAATGTTGCTCCCTGAGAGGTGACACTTTGTTTTGCCTTTTTTTTCCCCCCTCCCCCTCTCCTTTTTAATCTTTACAGACTGCATTGAAAAGGTTAAAGAACCTAGAAAAATGACTCCATTTGTATAGTGGCTGTATTAACCTTAAATAAAGAGCAACTTGCCAAAGTACTTCCGAATGGAGTTTAATCAAGAAGAATAGCTAGGCTTGTTGTCTTCTTAAATATTTATCTGTCTCTAAAATCAAGAATATGGAGTTCCATTAGTTGGATTGTAGCGAAAGGCACGTGGGAAGAGGCGGCCAGCTCTGTGGCTCAAGTTGTGCTGCGGTTTGTCTCGCAGACCTGGGTTAGGAACCAAGGGGACTGCAAGGGCAGGCAGCGGTGCAGCGCCCTTCACAACTTGCATCCACCCTTCCTGTTAGAGCGGTGACGCTGGGTCGGGGTGTGCGTGTGTGTGTGTGTCTGTGTGTGTTAAAGGCATTAGAACAATAGAACAGAGGCAGCTGAACTCGGTGTTGGAATAATTCAGTATTTACTGCATTTGCCTGTATTTGCATACAGATCTCCTAAATTTTGCAACATTGTTCTGTTCCTTCTGTGGCAGTTCAGGAAAGATACTATGTTGCTTGCAATGTGCAAGGTGCTGTCCTATTATTATTTTGTACTGTATCCTTTGATTATTTAGGAACCTTGTGCATCTTTGGGGATCAAACAGGAATACCATATGCAGCAGTATATTCTATGCAGTGTATTAAAATTAAGGAACACAAGAAAATAGGGTTTGGATTGCGTTTCGTCGATATCTAAATCGGACTTCTTAGTTCATATGGAAGTGGCCTCACTACAGAGTATAAAATTATTCAACTTTCTAGTATTACTGACAAATTTGAACAGTAAACTGTTTAGCTATCTAGAACTGATTAATGTTTTACTTTGTAGTTGGAATAATTATGATGTGAGTGAATAATCTGACAGCAGTGTTTTAAAGCTGTGGTCCATATTTACTTTTAAATAAGAGTGTTTTAATACTTTGGGGGAAAAATACTTGTTTTAAATTATGTTGAATACTCATCTGCTTCCTTGCTTTAGCAGTGTTCACAGGTAGTTTGAGTCAGATTATGTAACAACATAGTTTTTGATATGAAGCCTTTCGGAAAACTTGGCATGAAGAGTAAAGCTTAACGTGCTTGTTGTCTGCTCTTGAGAGCAGAAGTCTGTGAAGCAGAGCGGAAAAAGTAGTTTGCAATCTATTGTTTGGAAATATTCTTGGAGTTTTAGTAACTTACATGCATGATACATAACTGCTTTTATAGAATGTATGGAATAAGATCAGAAACCTGTCTGTGTAATGTGCATACAGGTTTCTTTTTTGTATTGTGTTTAAAATACAGGATTATGTTAGTGGATCTGGTGGGAGATGCAAGTTCAGGAACTATCTAATGTTTTAAAGGCTTTGTTTAAAGAATACTGTGTAAGCTCCTGTGCCAAAAACAGAAAATTGACATTTGAACATCAAGTTGTTCCAGCTGAGATTAAATTCTTTGGAATTTAATCTGTGCATTTCTGTAGAGGAAAAAAGAAGCATTTTGTATTTTCTTCTGTTTTTAGTTGGTGCTTCTACTGATTGTTCCTTTTAAGGAGTCTTTGTTTTCCTGTTCAGAGTTATTGTCCTTCTCTTTATTTGCAGTCTTTGCCTTTTTCTCTTTTTTGCTGTTTCCATTTTCTTCTTACTATTTTTATGCCGTGCACTTGCATCGTTCTGAGTTTTCCTTTCTTGTTTAGGACAAGACCATGTACTCCTTGAGATTAAAGTCTGATCTTAGAGAATGATATTCTCAAGGCGGTAAAGTCATTGTCACTAGTAATAATATGACCTTCATGTCATGTTTGTTTACTTTGACTTTTAGACCTTGGTATACAAGCCATAGCAAGCTGACAGTATTAAAGATTGTGCTCTTGTAACATAGCTTGTAGAATAGCACAGTTGAAAGATCTGAAGGCTAGAGAATGTATATGTGTTTTGTTTCTTGCCTTCAATATTTATGAAATTCTTTGTTTCTCTCCCACCTCGCCATGAGAAAATTACAAAACAGCTGCAACACATAATGAGTCTGTGGGCTTTAAGTCTCTGAGAAATGCATTTAAATTCTGGTATTTAGGTTTCCCTAGAGCTCTTTTGCTTCCAGGGATCTCCAGGAGCAATATATGCTTGCAGTTTGCCAATGCTGAAGACCTGAGCAAAAAGAGATACAATTGTGTAAATATCTTCCTTTATCAGAAGAGGAGTCATTGTAACAGAGCAAGAAGAGACAAATGTAGGACAAACTGTAGTGATTTGTGAAGGCAACAGTGAAAATTGAATGAAGAAAGGTGGCTTGGCATTCTGTGAGTGCAGTGTTCCTATCAACATATGTCTGCCAGCAAAGTTCAAGGGCTGTTGCATATAGTAATCGTGATTTCAGTGTCAGTAAAACACTGTTTCTAGGTGGATAAAAGAGGGAGATTCATATATGTTTAACTTATTCTGTGTGTAAACTTATGCTTTCATTCTAAAGAGACGGGCTTGGTGATCACTGCAGCTCTTAAATTCCGAAGTCTTGAGGAGAGAGAAACCAAATTTATCAGGTGAATACTGTATGGGGATAATTCTCTACAGAGTTTTTGCTTTTCAAATTAAACATTTTTATATTTGTGTCTTTCTGAGTCTGGGAAGTTCTACAGCATATGCATCAGGTTCTTCTTATTTCATAATAAAACAATATCACACATCATTATCTTGTATAGCTTCTGCAATGACTAGTTCGTAAGTTCCTATGGTATAACTCTTTGTATCAGATGTACAAAATAGGACCTGTAGAGAATGCTATGTGGTATTCTTTACCACTATGATTGTTTTAAAGTCTGTAATAAATCCTTTTCCTTGTGTTCATGGAAAACTCTAAATCAATACTTTCAGTGGATCTAGGTCCTGTGCAGTCCAAAATTACCTTAGCCAAAATGACATGTTAGCAAGGCTTAGCGCAGATCCAGGAATAGATCACACATATTCAGTTTCCATCTATACAGATATAAGAGAGTTAGTTTGCTGGAATCCATTTAACATATATGAAATGGCCTGATTTTCAGCCAACTTTTGTTGGAAGGTTGTATAGTCATACACATATGGTATGTGTTGGTGTGTGTGTGTGTGTGTATAGAGAGATATGAATAGATGTGTGTGTAGATGTGTGTGTATATACACATGTATACAAGTATACACATATATACATGTATACAACTATAAATATATATTTATAAAATATGTCTGTGTGTAACTGTACAGTTGCATATGTAATATAAATGCTCACTTGTCTCGCAGAGACTTTGCAATGTGCCTGACATTTTCAAGTAAACTTGATTGAGTGATAACAAGCTCAAAGTTTCCAAAGTTCCTAAATTCAAAGAAAATAGCCTCAGAGGAGAGCGTGAGAAAATCAGCATGTTCTTTCTCGCTCCACACCCTTTTCCCCTTGGAAACAACAATCTACGGTGTGAGCTTAGCTCTTCCAAGTTTGAGAAGATCCATATGGAAGAAAGACACTGAGTGTCCCAAGAGTAAAGAGTTCCCCCTCCCCTCCCCCCCTTTTCCTTAGAGTACACATGTTAACTGGCACCAAAATATAAGAACTGACACCAAAAAGAAAGCATGTCCATAGGAAAGAAGGCTTTGGTAGCTCGGTAGTTCAGCTACCCTTACATCTTCTTTCTCTGAGCAGGCTTTCAATTAGGCAATGGAAGTGTAGAATTTGCTAAAGGAGCTGTTCATGTGTTTTAATTAATTTACTTTTTCTAGTTGATTTATTGTAGATAGAGCATAAATCCTCAAGCCTTCCTTTACGGGATACTTTTTGATGTCTTGCACTCTCTCCTAAAATATAACATTGCATATCCTAGTCACTGTTTATGTTCTTCCTCCTTCATGCTCTCCCACTTATTCTGTAATGGATATCTATTTAAAAATATTATATATATATATTTTAAAACATTGCATGTTACCATATTATAGCTCTGCTTGCATCATTTTTCTGTCATGCTGCATGCAAATATCTAAGATTATGTATTTCTTTCTATATATATTTATATACGCACATGTTATACACGATATACATGTGTGTGTATTTTTTTATATGTGTGTGTGTGTATATATATATATATATAAAGACAATTTGCTACTTGCTAGCAGTGACACTGGACCATGGTGTGTGTTACGTCACAGCCACCGAACAGATCTGTTGTGCATTGTATTTGTTACATGATCTT